AGGGTTACAAAGAGGCAAAATTGGGTCATTACAATCACCATGATCCTAGCTATAATTAATTTTCAAAGGCTGCATAAAAATTCACCATGAAACACTACTGTAGAGTTTTGTTGTATTTCTGTATTCATTATTTATAGTGGCCTTTATAGCAACTAAATCTGAGAAGCTGTATTTTATAGCTTCTATGTTTGTGCTGGCAATAAGCTGGCTTTAGAACGCAGATAAAAATAGGCATTCATTCTCCACCCTTCCCTCTCCAACCTTCAGGCTAAAATCTACTTCCTTTTCTCTCTTCCTGCTTGTTGGAATGGCAATAGATAATTTAGCATAGTAAATCTCAATTAAGTCTTTGGCTTTAGCTTAAAGCTTATTTCCTTGTAGTATTTGCTGGAGAGTCATTAGGGTTGCTGGATTTAGCAAATGAAAACATAAGACATGGTTTAATTTTGAATTTCAGATAAATAACAAATAATGGCTTAGTGTAAGTATGTTCCAAATATGGCATGGAATATACTCACATTAAAATGTTATTTGTTGTTTATCTGAAATTCAAATTTAACTGGGCATTTTGTGTTTTATCTGACAGTCTTATTTGGAGATAATCTCCCAGGTTACTTCTATCTTGAAAATGGCAGGATTCTCCAGCTCAAGTTTCCAAGGCAAGGCTCCACTTGAGGAAATTATCATCAAGTTTCATTTCACAGTTTTGATTTCACAGCCAAAAAATTGGCTATTTTTTTTAAAGCAAGCACTTGGTAGCATGGTAGCACTCTCTTTTCTTAAAAGAGAGTGAAGAATGAAAAAAGTAAATTTAGTGAATTAGATTTGCATATGCCATTTGCTCATTTAACTGTATTTTAGTCAAGAACTCTTCTTATTACATGGTGAGCATCTTCTAGAAAATAAAATCTAGCATCAAGCCCAAATGAAATTACAAATTTTAGAAGCAGAACTGCTAAACATATATATATATATAAAATACGTAAGTGGCCAGGTGCGGTGGCTCACGCCGTGGGAGGCCGAGACGGGTGGATCACGAGGTCAACAGATTGAGACCATTCTGGCCAATGTGGTGAAACCCTGTCTCTACTAAAAATACAAAAATTATCTAGGTGTGGTGGTGGGTGCCTGTAGTCCCGGCTACTCAGGAGGCTGAGGCAGAATTGCTTGAGCCTGGGAGGTAGAGGTGGCAGTGAGCCGAGATCACGCCACTGCACTCCAGTCTGGTGACAGAGTGAGAGTCAGTCTCAAAAATAATAATACATAAGCGTTGTGTTCACACGTGCACACTCCATGCATTTATTCAGGTACAAGAGCTACATGGCACAAGAAGCATGCTTCTTCCTGGTGATTCCACTTGGCCACCTTGCTGGCATGGTGCCAAGGACTTGTCTAATAAACAGAATTTTAGTTGAGGGCTCTCTGCTCGCAAAAATGTATATTAAAGGACCAAAAAGAGAAACAGAGATTGCAAGGAAGAATGACTACAAGAAAATTATTCCTCAGATAAGTTTTTAAACAGAGATCAGGTGGATGCAGGGCAGAAAAGGTGAGTGGACATGATCATGCATTGTAGACCCAAAGACAGCACTGGAATCTGGTCAGTTCTAATGGACTGAGAAGCATAATCATAAACACAAGCAACATTCAGGATAATCGAGTTTCAGGTAATCTAAGCAAAAGCTCCATACCAACCAAAGCCAAGCAAAGTGTACCTACAGTCACTGGCAGTGGACATGAGGTAGGAGGTGGGACTCAAATACAGAGGTGGGGCTTGGATGCTGGATCAAACTGAGGACTAGCTAAGACAGGGCCTGGGCGGAAGCAGCTTTCCATAAGACACGCCTATCAGTGGGCCATGTCAGTTTACCATCGTGACGGCAACAACCCAGCGTTACCACCCCTTTCCATGGCAATGACCCAAAGACACAAAAGCTACTATCCATTCCCTAGAAAATTCTGCATGAACCAACCCTTAATCCGCATGTAATTAAAAGTGGGTTTAAATATGACTGCAAAATTGCCCTAAGTTGCTACTCTGACTAGGCAGTAGCCCTGCAGGAGTAGACATGGAGCTGTAACACTGCCCCTTCAATAAAGCTGTTTTCTTCTACCTCCATCTCACCTTGAATTCTCTTTTTTTTTTTTTTTTTTTAAATTGAGACAGTTTCGCTCTTGTTGTCCAGGCTGGAGTGCAATGGTATGATCTCAGCTCACCGCAACCTCTGCCTCCCAGGTTCAACCGATTCTCCTGCCACAGCCTCCTGAGTAGCAGGGATTACAGGCATGCACCACCAAGAAGAGGTAATTTTTGTATTTTTAGTAGAGACAGGGTTTCTCCATGTTGCTCAGGCTCGTCTGGAACTCCTGACCTCAGGTGATCTGCCTGCCTCGGCCTCCCAAAGTGCTGGGATTACAGGTGTGAGCCACCACACCTGGCCACCCTTGAATTCTTTTCTGGGCAAAGCCAAAACCCCTCACAGGCTAAGCCCCACTTTGGGGCTCACCTGCCCTGCACTGGACCGACACAAGCTCAGCAACAGGAATCCTGGCAGTGCTGCTCTGTTGGAGCCGGTGAGGGGAGCCTCTTTTGCATTCATTCAACATCTAGCAAGGCTGAGCCATGATCCTCTCCATCTGGCACAGGACACAGAGTTTTCTCATTTAATATAGGAAGCCTGCTTCCTAGCTGCATTGCTATGAAGCTTTGTTTAGCAACACTACATATCATTTCCCATTGCAAACCAACATGTAGGGGAAAACTATAGTAGCGCTTACATTTGGCTGCTAAGAAAATAACTATAGGTCCACCACTAGACGAAGCACCAGGAGGGCAGGGGCTTTGGGGATTGCTTACTACTGTCTCACCAGCACCAAGAACAGCAGCTGGCACATAATAGGCAATTGGTACACAATGGCAGAAGAGTGGCACCAGCTAGTGTACTCCAAATCAAAGTTAATAAATTTCATAATTTTTTTTAAACCAGAGAGGCATTGTGACTAAATAGCACATTCCAAATAAGAAAAGAGGGAGAGTATTTTAACATCTTGTTCGTGAAAAAGTTTTATTTCCAAACACAAAAGCAGCAAAACTGTGAATGGTAAATGTCTCCTTACAGCCATGCACTATTAATAGTCCAAAAGAATGGGATTTTCAGAAAAATGAAAGTTGGTTTTCAAAGGGAGCAAATGAAAGCTCCACTCTTTAAACCTGTAGTAGCCCGTTTGCAGGTTTCCAAGCGACCTTCTTATTGCAAACACCCATCTGGAGAGCTGGAGAGAAGAATGTGGCCACAAAGGGAAATGAAGAGTGTAAACTATAAAGGAAACAGCTGAAATCAGTTTTCTGCACTACCCTTGATTAGCTATTTTCCAGTTCTAAGAGCCTGAAGCAAAAAGAACTACAACAGCTATAAACAATAGATGCTTTGAAATAGGTTCCCTTTACATGTCAGGCAAGAGGAGATGGACCACATGTCAGCAGTCGACATCCCCATATGGAGGGGCAACTGGAAGCTGTAACAGTCTTCGGGGGAGGGGAAGGACACACAGAAACGGCTTGGCAGTGGTGCTCTGTCTTAGAGGGGGCCGATGCAGCTCTTCAATACAGAACCTCTGCCCTCAGGGTGTTTGCTAGTTAACCACTGAGCTTGTTTGGATTTAAACCAAAGAGGGATGGGAGGTGGGGGTGGGGAGTAGGTCTCTAATCTGAAGAAAGAGAGCACACAGTGCCAAGAGAGCCCTGGCCCTGGCTCTGAGGAAGCCTGTGAGGAGGACTGCCGTCCGTCACGTCTGTGGAGGGAAGGGGAGGGGGTGCTGGGGGGAACACCCCACCAGGAACTTGGCAAATATGTCCCTAGGACCCCACTGTACATGGAAGCAGAAGTGTGGGGTCCTGGGCATCCCCCTAGACACTGAATAGAAGTGATTGAATCATGGAACATGTGAAAAACAAAAGTGGAGAAGACAACAGCCATATTCTTTTCTAGGTGGGTAGAGGGAGAGATCTTTGGGAAAGGGGCTTGGAAGTAGTTCTTTCTTCTCTCCCTCCAGCCACCTATCTGCCTTAGAGAGAAAGAAAAGTGAAACGGAAAGCTTTTGTCAGAGATCAGCGAACTCTGACTCCTATTAGATGCGCTTTCGCTTTGGGGATTGGTAGTAATTAACAGAGTGCTTGGTGGAGGTGTGGGGTAGGGAGCTAGTTAACTCCTTCTGGCCACTAGGGTTCTTTTAGCAAATTATTATAATAATTTAGTAAATTATTATAATGCATAAAGCGGTGCCCTAGTGACCAGAAAGGATTTGGTCTCTAGTAATAATTTGTAGACTGGAAAAATCTGACCAAATAAGAAAGGTCATTTGCTTTTTTTAAAATGCTAAAAATAGCACTGATTAATATGAGTAAATAAAGAAAG